AGGGAAACATTTTGGATTTTTTAATATTATTAATTTTTATTATTTTTTTTATGTTTATAAATTAATAGTTTTCGTTTTTACTATTTTATGTGAAATTTATAGCAACTTATTTTATTGGACCTTTTTTTCTGGTTTTGTAATATTTTTTAGTAAACGTTTATTTTAAAAAAGTTTTTTTTTCTCATTTTATCTAAATTTTAGTGCTTTATATTTATATTTCTTTTACTATTTGTGTTAGCATTACTTTTTCTTTAATTTTTAATTTACTTATTTTAAAAAAAAAGTTTTTTTTCTCGTTTTATATATCTTAAATATTTCTGTTTAAAAGAATAAACATTTTCTTTATTTGTTATTTTTTTTACTTTTCATAAGTGTATAATATCTTGTAATTATTAAAACTCTTTTTAAAAAAAATATTATTTTTCGTTGTAATTATTACTAAAGTATATTAAAAGTAAAATTTATCTAAATTTTGCTTTTTTTATTATTAGTTTTAATATTATTCACAAACATATTTATTATTGTTGCCTTTTATTAAAACTTTTTGTAGTTAAAATTTTATTGTTGTTATTTTATAAGAAAAAAAATATTCAAAAATTTTGCTTTACTTTCATTGTTTACTTCATAAATATTTAATAAAAAATTTTGTTAGGAGTTTATTAAAACTTTTTATTATCAAAAATATATATTTACTTCTTTTTTATATATATAAAGTTTTTGCTTTACTTTTATTATTTAGTTTAAATATATTTAGTAATAATTTCTATTTTGTTAATAATATATTAATGAAACTTTCTACTAATAAAAATATTTTCCCTTATTTATATGTAAAGTTTTATATACGAATAATGCTTTATTTTTATTTAGTTTAAAAATATATTAGAAAAATTATTATATTTTTGTTTATTTATGAAAATTTTTTAATGAATAATCAGTTATGAAAGTTTTTAAGAATTTTAAAATTTTTGCTTAACTTTTGTATTTAGTTTTAGTTATTATATATAAATAATCTTATTATTTTTTTTGTCTTTTATAAAATTTTATTATTAATATTATTAAATTTTAAAAAATACAATGCTTCTTATTGGTGCTTTATGGTCGTTCACTTTTTTTCGACAGGAAATAAACCACCCACTGCTGTGCTCAGCGAAGAAACGTTGTGCGACGCTAACTTTTTCATAGAAGTTACCAAAACCGGTGACCCCTTATATTTATTGAACTATTCCATAGAGTAACCAATAACATCTTCTTAGACAGCGTGTTAGCCAATAATAATGCTGTTTATGATAAATATTTGGTAATTCAATCAGACATTATTATTAGTTAATTTTGTTGTATATGTTACAAAATAATGACTTTTATTTGCGAGTTTATTGATTAAGTACCTAAAAAAATCGGTTACTACCAAAAAAATTACTATTAACTTTATAACTAACATTATTGGCTGGTGTTCCTTTTTTTTAACTATATATATAAATTTCTTTTTTATTAGGCAACGATCTTTTCATATGCAAATTTATTGAATATTTACTGCACAACAAACACATAATTTTTCGTGAAAGCCAAATTGAGGAAGTGATTGCCGTTCTCTCGCACGACAGAACTCTCCAATATTATTTCATTAAAAAACTTGTTATTTCTGGTACTGCTCCCTTTTAGCCACCATTAATCCTTTCCACGTTAGCAGAGAGATTCTAATAATTTAAAAAATGGTTTCATTCAATAATTAAGAAGAGCAGCCACTGAATGTCAGTCCAGCTGTTTACTATCAGCTTCTCTATCCTCTTATTGAACTTAAAAAAAAATGTACTTTTAATTTTTATTATTTACTGATTATTATAATTATTTATTATTATTATTATAAATATTATAAATCTTATTATTATTATTATAGATTCTCCTAAAGATAATTCTCTCAACATCTCCGGCCGTCTTGTTTGTGATACTCTTTTACTTCTATTATCAAAATGTACTGAAAATATCCACTTTACGGAAGAAACTATGAAACCTGTTTCTCTCTCTTTAAAAGTTGCTGTTATTTTTATTACTTTTTCATTCTTTTTTTATTTTTTAGTAAAGTTTGATTTTATTTTATATTTTTTATTATTATATTTCTTTTGCTTTAATATTTTTTAAAATTTTTGATTATTATTATTTATTTTCCTTTATATAATAGCATCACTATTTTTTTTTGCTTAATTATAAAAATTAATTTATTTCAAATTATATATTATTTGTATTTCTTCTTTGTTTATATATTATTTTTCATTATATTTATTTATTATTATCTTCTGTTTGCTTATTTATAAAAATTGATTATGTGTTATTATTTTTATTTTTCTTCTGTTTATCTATTAAATTAGATAAGATTATTTATTTTTCTTTATATTTATTTATTAATTATCATTTCTTTCTGTTTACTTTTATATAAAAATTAATTATAATAATTTACTGTTATTAGTTTACTTTTGATTCTTTATAAAATTTAATTATAATAATTTTTTTCTTTAAAATATATACTTTTATTTTATTTTTTTCTTTTTGTTTATTTATGAAAATTTGATTATATTTATTTATTTTTTATTAATTTAATATATATATACTTTTTTTTATTCATTAAAGTTTGCTTATATTTATTTATTTATTATTTTCCTTATTTATAAAAGTTGATTATAACTGTTTTTTTTTTAATATAATTATAAATTTTATTATTATTTTTTTTCATTTCATTATTAAAAAACTTTAACCTACTTTTATTTTATTTTTACTATTATTTATTTTTTTTATTTATTTATAAAATAATTATAGTTGTGTATTCTTTTAAAAGTTTAATACTTATATCGATGTTGAAAATATTTACAATTCTAATTATATTATTTTTTTTTGTTTTCTATTTACTTATATATTTTTTTATATTTTATTATTATTTTTACTTTATATTATTTTTATTTTTTTTCTTCTTTTGTTGGATTCTTAGCTTTATATATTTATTATTTATCCTATTTTACTTGTACTGAAAACATAAATATATACTTATTATTTTTATTATCATTTTAACTTTTAAATTTTTACTTTAACTTTTTTAGTATAATTCATTTTTTTTTTGCATATTTCTATTCCAATTCATTAAATTTTTTCATAATTTTTTTTGAAAATATTTTTTTTCGTTTAAAGTTCTTCAATATTTTGTAGGAATTTATATTCCTTATTTTTTTGTATTTAATTTATTTTATGAACTTTTTTTTTATATTTATATTTTTTACTTTATTATATTTCTTATAATTTTTTGAGGTCCGTTATTGTTATATTTATTTTATATATTTTTTGGTTCATTTTTTTTTATCTTTTATTATTTTTTTAAGCTCATTATCTTTATCTTTATATTTTTTTTTTATTTTTTGTATTTTTATATTTATATATATTACTTATCATTATTATTTTTATTTTTCAAGGCTCATTATATTTATATATCTTTTTCCCCTCATTTATTTGTACTTTTTTATTCTTCTGTGGTATTGATATATTTTACCTTTTATTATATTTTTTATTTTTATAAGGCTCTTATATTTATATTGTTCATTATTTAATCTTTTTTATATATATTTAACTTTTTTCATAATTCATTATTATTATTATTTAAGGCTCAATTTTAACAGGTATATTTATTTTGTTTATTTTTGTATATGTATTAAAAAAATCTTATTTAAATTTTTGAAAATTCATATTTATAGTTATAAACTTGTACTTCTTTATTTTCATTATTATTAATTATTTTTTAAAGCTCATCATTTTTTTTAGGCTCATTATATTTATTACTTCGTATATATAAAGCATATTATTGGAGCTACTTTTTCTAAGTATTCAGCGCATCTACTAATGAAAATATTCAAGAGAATGAGAGCTTCTGGATTTGCTAATGTCCCTGAGCTTTACGAGGCCGTGTTTTACTTTCATAAGTAAATTACCATTTTGCGGAGTGTTTTATTTTGAATGAATTTTGAAAAAAAATTTTAATGATTAATAATTTTTGGAGGCAAAAATAATATAAATGTTTATTATTATTAACTTTTGACTTCTATCCTTTGGCATTTTTTAAGTAATAATAGTGAAATTCATTATTTTAGTGTAATAACTTGAATTTTTCTTTTTTTATATATTTTCACAATTTTTTTTTGTAAAGCATTTCATTTTTTTAAAAAATTATTGTCAATCGAATATTTAACCTTTTTTACTTGGATTTTTCATAAAATTAAAAATTTTCAATTTTCATAAAATTTTTTGTTTTGTTAATTGTTGTATTTAAATAAGTTTTATATATAAATTTTTATTTTTTATTATTAAATACATTTTATTTAATTTTGTAATGCTTAAAGCAATGAAATAAACTTTTTTTGTAATATAAAACTTTTAATGCGTTCATTATATTTTTTGCTGTTTTTTTAAAAAAATCCTTAAATTATTGAGGATTGAGGATTTTTCGTTTTATTTTTTTTTGTGCTCGTAAATGCTTTTAATTGGTTAAGAAATACATAAATAATTTGTAAAGTTTATTCATAAGCTTCAAAAACACAGTCAAGCCGTTATCTTGTTTCCAATAACATTGTTACTAAGTCCTTTAAAATATAATCCACGTGCTCTTTACATATTGCATTTTTTGACCAATGAAAAACCTGAACTTTAATGATAGCTTATTACATAATCATTAAACTAAGAATTAGTTATTTATATATAAATATTGTTATTCATATTTTTTTTATTATTCTATTCTAAATTTTACTAATTATTTTATTTTTTCATTTTTTCTAAGAAATTTATGCAGCTTCTACATGAAAGAAGTTCTTTTTACTGCAGTTTGTAATGAGGTTGACTTGAACGTAACAATTCTTCATCGTTTGTTTGAAAAAATAAAAGATTATACTGAACATATGAATAATAATAATAATAACGATAATAACACTGAAAATCATAATAATGAAACTGTAATGTATCGAGCGAACAAGCTTAAAAAACATAAGAAACCACCAACAAACGAATATAGTGACCTTCATAATTTGCTTCCAAATTTGTGAGTCTAATAATTATTATTATTATTTCATATCCACTATTTTATATAATTATCGATTAGGGTTTCCAATAGCTCCTCTTCTACTGTTTATGAATATTATTTTGCAATGAGTTATATTATTTGCTATAAAAATACGCTCTTTCCGGTACTTATATCTATAAATATTAAAAGACAAATCTTATTGTGAATCTTTTTAGCCAATGAACTGGGCCTACACACTAGTCACGAAGGAGCTGGAATTCAAGAAAATAAAGTTGGACTTTGTAACAATCTTTTATTTTTAATTTTATGTTTCATTAAAAAACCGTTAAAGATCATCAAACTTTTAGCCGCTATAATCCTCTCAGAGCACAACCAACCAATAGCAGAGAGGCTTCTCAACCGCTGCGTCGTCCAGCAAGAAACTTTTTTGTCTAAATTCTCAAATAATAATGAATCTCTTTTTCAACTCACTTTTAATAATAACTTTAAATATTTGAAAAGTTTATTATTATTATTATATTATTATTATCATTATCATTATTTTTCACAGCTCCAGAGCAACAAGACGTAGTAAATCGAATTATTCTTCCTTTTGTTAAGCTTGCGCTTCCCTTTGACTTTTCTGAACCGGTTTGTTATTGTTATTTACTATTATTATTATTATTATTATTATTATTATTATTATTATTATTATTATTATTATTATTATTATTATTATCATTATTTATTATTATTATTATTAATACTATTATTATTACTATTGTTACTATTATTACTACTACTACTATTATTATTATTATTACTACTACTACTATTATTATTATTATTACTATTATTACTATTATTACTATTATTACTACTACTACTATTATTATTACTATTATTACTATTATAAATCTTCTTTCAGCTTTTCAAAACCATAAAACTGGACAACACGAATGTGTTAATTTTAAATAAACACGAGGTGCTACACTTTCCCTCCATAAAAAAGTTTGTCGCGCAGTTCAGGTATGGATTTATTTTAAAAAAATTGCAAACCTTTTTATGAAAAAGTTTATTTAAGTTTATTTTTTATGTCTACCTTTAAACTTTTATACAAAATATTATAAACTTTTTTATTTTTCAATACTTTAATACTTTTCCAACAAATTATTCTAAACTTTTATAAAAGTTAAACCCGTTTTATATTATTTAACATAAAGTTTTGTTGTGTAGATATTTTTTAACTCTAGAACTATTTTATAAATATTTTTTAAAAAGTTGTTTCTTTTCTTTAATTGCAAATCTTTTATGTTTTAATTCCTTTTTCTTATTATAAAACTATAAGCGTTAAAAAGAAATTATTTTTTTCAGAACTTAACACTTTTGTTATATTTTTATTTTATTTCCTTACAAAAGTTTTACTAAAACTCTTTTTTTTGCCAGACGCGAGTCGGACGCAAGAGTCAAGTATTCGATAGCGCTTCCCAAGGAGAGTGGCACAGATATAGAAAAATTGCTGCACTCTAACGGCGTTCCTTATAAGCTGCAACAACCAAAGGTTATAAAACATTTTTTACTACTAAAACTTATTAAATATTAATATTTATTATTTATTACGATATTTAATATATTTTTATATAAAAGAATAATTTATTTATGTTTCTAACATTATTTGTATTTATATTAAATATACTATATATTATTATTGTATTCTTCATTATTACAAACTATTTTTTAAATATAATTATTTGTATGAAATAAAAAATTATTTTTTATTATATTATAATTATTTATACTAATGACTAAACTATTGTAAATATGCTTTTTTTTGGTATTATTTTTTAGTAAACTCATAAAATATTATTATTTATACATAAAATGAAACTATTGTAACTATTATTATTTAACTTTTTAATAAATATTAATTATTATATTTTTGATAACTATTAAAGAAAAAACTAAACTTTTTATGTTTCCAATAATACTTTTAATTATAATTTATTTTATTATTTATACTTGTATTTATTATTATATTTCATAAATACATTGTTTATATTTTCTATAATTATTATAATTTGTTTATAATTGAACAAATATTAACAATTTTTGTTAATATTATATTTATTATGTTTTTAAAGTATTTATAATATAATATAATTCTAACAGTAATTATAATTATTTATATATAAATATAAACTATTAATATTATATCATTGTATAAATAACTATTAAACTAAATATTATTTATTATAATTTTTATTTAGTTTTTTTATTAAACAGTTTATACGTAAAACTAAATTATTTTTATTATTATATTTTTTATAGTAACTATTGTCTAAACTATATAAATATACTATTATTAGTTTTTTTATCACTTATATTTCGGACTAAACTATTTTTTTTATACTTGTATCTAATTCTTATTATTCAAAACTGAACTGCCTTAAATATTATTATTACATATTTTATTATTGCCACTAAATATATTTATATTTTTTTATTTAATAATTTGTATTATTTTAATACTGGACTAATATATTATATATATTATCTTTTTTTTTTAATATTTATATTTCATATAAGCATTACTTTTTTTTATTTAAATCATTTATTCTAATAGAACTTTTGCATAAAAAATTTATTATATATAAAAAATATTTTCTAGTAGAACTTACTAACAATTTTCCCGAAATTTCACTGAAATAATGCAAAAAAATTAATGAAATCTAAAATTTTTTAATGAAATTTTGGTCAAAAAAAATATTTTTTAAATATTTTTTAAAACTTACTAACAATTTTTCACTAAAATTAATGCAAAAACTTTAAAAATTATATACGACAAAAATAAGTTAAGAGTATGCAAAAAAAGTAATGAACTCGAAATTTTTTTAACAAAATTTTTGTATCAATAATTTATTATATAAAATTAAATATCTTTTTCATAATAAGCTTTTCCTTAAATTAATTGATTTTTTTAATAGTATAAAACGGATAAAGAAAAAGAAAGGTTTAGTTACTTAACTCTATATATTATATACAGGACAGTTTTTTTATTAATATGTTCAATAACGAGTAAATATTAGCCAACCTCTGGTGCAATATTATTATGCCTAAAAAATAACGAATAAATTTTTGTATATACTTTTATTAAACAATGAAAATGTATATATTTTATTATTAATAATACTTTTTTATATTATATAAACATTCGTTAAAATTATTGATACTAACAAACCATTTTTATATGAAAAACGATAAATAATGAACTGAATACTTTTTATAATTTAAAATGGTATTTTTATTTAAAAAAAAGTATATGATTTTTTACAAATAAAAGTAAATTTCTTTATTATTAATGAAGCTTAAATATATAAATTAAGAAAAATAAAGAAGTTGAATGGTTTTTATATTAAAATTGCATTTCTATGTCTTAAAGGGTAAATCTAGTTATAATAATAATTATTTTTTTTTCATAATAAATAATGATTTGCACGTATTAAATACATAAAAATAATTTTCTTTATAAAAAACATATTACTGACATTTTATGAAACTTTTATAAAACGAATAAAAATATTAATACAATTTTTTTTAGAGCGATCTTTATGAAAACTACAAGTTTTACAAAATCTACTGAAGAATCTTTTATTATTGTGAATATTGTAAAGCTCGGGTATCTTCATGTCTTAAAGCTTCAAGTATTTTTTTAAAGTGAACGCTCTGGCGGATTCCCGAGAGGAGCTCCTCCAACTTTTTGTGTTTTCCTTATTATTAAATAAAGTATAAGAAATAAAAAAATAGCGCCAATATTTGGGTAATTACCAGAAACATCGTGGTCTTTTAGCGCCAAAACAAGTTTAATAGCCGAACAAACCACTTCTTTTTTTTTATTGGCTTCGCTTTGAACATCATCTTTTTTTATGATGGACTTTTTTAACGTGGCTATCAAATTCTCAACAATTTTTTCAATATCTACAATAAAGAATAAAAAATTTTATCATTATAAAAAGTATAAAATGAAAATAACTTTTATATATTTCTTGAGGAAAAATTTGTACAGCACGACGTAAAATTCGGTAGACAATAAGCTTAACATCGTCATCGTCTGTTATTTATTTATTTATTTATTTGTTGTTATTATTATCATTATCGATATAAGAAGACCTTTTAGCCCTTGAAGCAGTGACGTCATGACCAATGAGAGCGAATCACTGATGTCATAATTTTCAATGACAGCGCGCAAAATTTCATAAGCAGCCTTTATAAAAATAATAAAATTAATTTTTTAAGAATTACAGATAAAAAGTTTTTTAATAAATTGTTTTATATTGGGTTAAAAACACGTTACTCGCCTTTCTAAGTTCCACGCCATCGTCTTTTCTATGAACAAACGGGCCCATGTGAACTTCCTTTATCAATGTCTCCTGATTGTTATAAATAGAATTAATAGTAGTGGAATAAAAAAAAATAAGGAAACGAACATCCACAAGAGTTTGCTTTAAAAGTAACGGAAGAAATTTATCAATACAAGATTCTAACAAGGGTGGATCGCCGTAAATAAGAGTACTGATTACTGAAAAGGCTCTTTTCCGCACCGACTGTGGAAGTAAATTTATTATTATTACTATTATTACCATTATAAAATTTTACCAACTGGCTGTCAGCAGCCAATAAAAACACTTTTCCCAAGTGTTGGGTAAGCAGTTCCTTATTTGTGTGCTCCTTTCCATTAGAAAAAGCACTGATTGGTAGTTTGCGCATTTTAAAAAGTGAATAGTGAATAGTCATAATAATAATAAAACACACGATAAGAAAACTGCAAGGGCGAGTTCTCTCACTTCTGACGATGAACTCTCAAAAAGCGACTAATAAAATATAATATATACTCTCTTTATAAGTAAATTTAAAATTCTGTCCAACCAGAATAAAAGAAGTCGACTTATGACCAACCCACAATCTGAAAATAACGTCTCCAGCTAAAGTTTTTTGCTCTGAAGCAAAAATATAAGGCCGATCATTTTTTTTAATAATTATTTTAGTGATAAGTTTTCTTTATTATTAATAAAAACGGAAAAACATTAGTACTTTTACCTTCTTGCGAAAAATCACAACTTTTTAGTACTAAAGTTTGTATATCTTCTGCATAACACTGGAAAAAACTGCGACTTTCCTTTTCTAAACAGCGAGTGGTTATCTGATAATAAAAAAGCCAATGAAAAAATTAATTAAAAATTATGAGCGCAAATCAAAAACAAGTAATCCTATCACTAAATATAAAACAAACTTTATAATAATCAAATTTTCTGTCCCTAAGGACTGAAAAAGCGGAACATATCGGGCCCAGACTCCCACCATTCGGCCTAGTGTGGTGGAAAACAGCTATAAACCACCACCAGGAGGGGCAGCCTTAGACACAAGGCCTAAGGCCACCTGGAGACACCGGCCAGCACCACTGCCAGCCAGGTCTCCCCGACTTAAAAACGCATTTAATTTTATATAAAGGTTATAGAGTTAAATACAAGATAATGGACAAAGTAAAATTTCCTCAGTAAAAAAGTAAATAAATTCTATTTCTGTACTCTAAACGATATAATAAATTTTTGCGTAACAAACATTAATTTTAATGATTTTTTAACACACCTCCTTTAGCGTCCGTAAATATAAACTTTGCATGTTTTTTTCGTATTGAAAAACACTTAAAATTTTGGGTAAGAAGTACTCAACATGCCCGCAAGATAGTGCTCCCAACGATATTGCTGTTATAAATTTAAAAGCCATTAAAAAATTATGCTAAAAGTGGTTGGGTCGTTCAAAGAAATAAACATCCTTATTAGATATGATTCAAAAATATAAAAATTATTTTTTTAAGAAATTATTAATAAATTTTAAACAATTTTTTGTAATCAATTTGTTAATTTTTTTATAGAAAAATGTAGTAATTTTCGTTATTTCTATGGAATAAATAACGCCCAACAATTTTAAAAGAAAGAACCAATAATCTCAATTATTAAGACCTGATGTTATTTTTCCTTCACTAATATTGCAATGAAATAAATCAGTCAACAGGCAGAACAATAGTTCTTCATTGGATACTTTGCTAATAAAGTCAAGAAAATAAGGGGGGAGGAATTGGTACGAGATGAAAATAAGAAAATGAGTTCCTGCGAGACCATTAATGATCATTAATCATCAAAGAAAAATGAAAGAAAATCGCGCAAAAAGTAACGAAAACTACAACGAATAAAAATTATACGTTAATTTATTAAACCAATAGCAATAGAAACGAAACAATAAAGTAATAAACACTCTAAATAGTGCACTTCGCCCCTAAATAATTATAATTATTATGCAATAAAGCCAAATTTGTTATTCATAGATAATCAAAAAAAAACCCCCCACTAGAGGAGGTCAATATAATTATTGAGCTAATAAAAATACAAAAGAAATAAAGAATGTTACTTTTGCGAACCGATCTCTCCAATGCACAACAAACTAAATAGAGCTATACAAATACTCTTATCGTTACCGAGGCGTTTATGTTGTTCAATCACTAAAAAAAAGTACAAGTTAAAAATAATAGTGAACAAAAAAAATTAATGAAAGTTAAAAAAAAATTCATAAAATAAAAATACCTAAAAAAAAATAGTGAAACGTTTTAAAAGAAAATACAAGAAATAAATTTCACTAAATACTCATCCATAAGTTTTCTGCTTCGAAGGAGAACCAAACAAATACACTTCGAGCTTGTAACAAAGTAGGAACTGTTTATAATGAATTCACCAAAAAAAAACATTGAAAATATAAATAACAATCATTATAAAAAAAGATTTATATAAAAAAAGGACCCGTTCAAACATTGCATTCCTAACAGTGCGGGGCCCGAGTCGCAGACAGGGAGGATAATCCGGTCCAAAATATTGCTAAGCTGAAAAAAAGGACCAAAATTAGTACTGCGCTGGCTCATTAAAAGAGCTTTAAGACGACAAGTAGTCAATATATGTTTTTTGAAATTTTTAATCTCTTCATCTACCAATAGAATGGAATGGAGCCCAAAAAAGTAACATGACGTAGAGTATAAGCAGAGTAAAAAGTTCAAAAAAAAATTACCCAAAAGCTGCAAGAAACTCGATAATAATAATAATAATAATAATAATAATAATAATAATAATAAAAATAAAAATGAGAATTAGTGTAAAGGTTCATGAACAGTAAAAGGTTTGCAAAAGGCCTCCATAAAGTTTAAAAGTGGTTTAATAAGTTTTTCCTGATGTTGAGAACAATAAAGAAAGTTCATAATAGGGTCGATCTTTACAAATTGAACTTTATAAAAATGTATTGGCGCTTTTACAAACCAGTAACGTACAGGTATGAATCGCGACAAATGAGGTGCACGGGCCAACATAGAAGTCAACAAATCAAAGGCGCCCGCCGCGGCCTATATAATTAAAAAAAACAACAATCTACTATTTAAGATATAAATAAAATATTATAAAATTCCTGCGCATCCGATACGTCCAACGTTGGTGTCACGTGTTCAATAAGCTTGAGAATTGTCTCCTCGTCCACCAATAACAGAGAATTTGATAAAAAAGTTCGTACGGTCTTAAGAGCACTTGCACGAGGTGTTCCGGCCTTTAGGTAGTAAATATTGACTACGCAGGTCAATAAAATAATTATTCATTATAAAAATAAAATTTAACATTTATTGTAAGTCCTGTAGTTTCGTTATTATTTATTTGTAATAAATATTAAACCAATAGAAAAACTGGACTGTTTTTATTGGTACTAATAATAATTTATATAAAAATAGTCGCGCAAACCTTCTTTTCATATTATAGATGAAATATTCATAAAAACCTCTTTAAAAAGCTCAGCGATAGCGAGAAGTAAAGGGGATACGGCTGTTATTATAGAAAATAAAATAGATAATAAAAAGTAAAAAAGTAAAATATTTTTTAATACTTCTAGTAAAACAAGAAGAGTTGGGTGAAACGGCAATACGTTCAAAGCCTATTATATTTTAAGAATAATAATAATAATAATAATAATAATAATAATAACTAATAAAAGAAAGAACCTTCAAGGGCTACAAAACGAAAACTTTCACTACGCAAAGAAGCCATCAACGTTTCAACCACAAACTCTAATAAAAGTAGTTCAAAAAAAGTATATAAAATTATATATACGAAATAAATATTTACAGCCTAAAAAATTTTAAGGAAATCAAAAATATAAAAAGTTGAGAGTTTTTACATATAATAAAGAATTTCATAAAAGAAAAAAAAATTATTTATAAAAATAATAAGTAAAAACGTTTTTAAAAATTTTCTTAATAATGAAAGTATCAAAAATCCTTCATAAAAAATAAAAAATTGATAATTCATTAAAATAACAGAAATCAAATAAAAACTTATCGTAAAAATTTTTAAATATTTCTTTGCATCGACATAAAATAATTAATTCATTATAAAAAATATATAAATTTATAATAATATTTCTTTTTCCATTAAATTTTAAAATTCATTGTAATAAAAATAATGAAGATTTTAAACTAATAAAAAAGTATCAGTTTTCTTTTTTAACTACAAAAAAAAATTAAAAATCCATTATAACAAAAAATCAAATAAAAACATAAAAATTTTTAAATAATCATAAAAATATCAATTTTTTTCCATTAAAAATATTTGAAAATTCAATATAACAAAAATAATAAATAATAACTTTATAAAACTTTTTAAATAATATTAATTTTTTTCATTAAAAAAATTTCAAAGTTCAATAAATTTTAAATAAAAATTTCAACCAATAAAGATAACCCCAAAATAATAATAATAATCAACCGTTTTTAAGGGCATCAAGAAAAGCGCCGAGATATGTTTGTATCAAAGACAATAAACATAAAGATTTTCCTTTAACTGAGAGTTCACTATTTTCACTTGAAAAAATAGAAACGGCCCAATCGTGAAGATAATTGGCCAATGCACTGTTGAATATCATTATCACTATTTAATGAAGTGTATACTTATTTTTTTTATAAAAAAAATAATAGTTTCTTCATTATTACTGCTTAATAAAATAATTTTTTTAATAAATAATAATGAAATTTTTATTATATAAATAAAGTTTATGTTTTATTATAATATTTTTTGGTACACTTATTTATAAAAGTATATTTATATTACTATTTTATATTATTAAAAATGTTAAACAAATATGGAAAAGACTTTTATTATATGTTTGTGTCGTTTATTATTTATTCTATAATTATTTAAAAAATCATTATTTCTTATTATATATTTTATTGTACTGATATTATTTAATAAAGTGTATGTATATTACTACACTTGCTATGTAAAATAAGTATTATTTACATATATATTTATTATATTTATTTCTATTTTTTTATCGTTACTATTATTATTGTTGTTTTATTAATTAAAAAAATTTCATTTTATTAATACAATACTATTTATAATAATAGTACTGTTAAGTTTTCATTTTTATTTTTTTATTGTTAAATTATTTATATAAAAAGAATTATTATTTAAAGTAATTAGTAATTATTTACTTTTATATAATAGTAAGTTTCTTCCACGCACTATTAATGGTTAATATAACACATTAATATATTATGAAAGTATAACACAATTTACTTATTATATATTATTAAATAAAGTATTATACAACTTTATTATTTAATTGTTTTCTCATTAAAAAATATTCACTTCTTAGCTTTCTAATATTAATAAACTATAAAATAAAAAAACTTCCATGAACTTTTTTATATTTATTTTATTTAAAGCAAAAAGTTAGCATTTTTTTTCATTATATTTTTTTCAGCTGTTTTAAAATAAATATAAAAAAGTTTAAACGTAATAAAAAAATAATACATAAAATTCTTTTATAAAAATAAGAATAAAAAACGAAATTCATTCCAATCATTGAACCTTTTCATTATTAGAATTGATGTTTCGTTATTAATATATTTATTATTATTATTAAATAATATACCCAACATCTTCAGCATTAGAGCCTATCGCAACCGAAGAAGCGACCAAGGGAACTAGTGTAATGAAGAGTTCCTAAAATTGTAAGCCAATAATAAAAAGTTATAAAGGCCAACCAATAAATAAGTAAAAAGTTTTCTATGATATACAAACTAAATAGTAACCAATGAATCGCTGAGATATACAAACTAAATAGTAACCAATGAATCGCTGAGAATATTCGAGTGCACTTCGAGTGACGCTTCACAGATTGGCTGATAGACCCGGAAGCACATGTAATTGCTGTTTTCCAAACCCTGATGAACTAATAATGGCGATAATAAATACACAAAACTTCAGGCTTCATAAATATCGCGCTAATTTCGTGTAAATATTTTTACATATTACTATTTTTAGTGAAATCTAAAAAAGCATGCTTCGATAGAGAGTTCAAATAAAAATTACCTATGAAATTATTGACCATTGAAACAACAGAACGCTTCAGGACGGGAGTGGATTTGGGAGCCAATAGTATGCAAGAAAGCGCTTCGGCTTATAAGCCTCATAAAGAATGCTTTAAAAATATTATGAATGCATAAAAGTACCCAACAACACGCGCTCGCCAGCCAAGCAAGAAAATTGTGACTTGCTGAGTTCAGTTAAAACTTTTAAGCAAGCGGAAAGCACGGCTTCCTTGCTGCGCCTCAACTAATAAATAAGTTGTTGGTTGAGTACTTTTTCATTACTTTTAGTTTTTTATATATATTATTCTCTAATTATATATTTTTATTAAGTAAAAAATGTTGATTTTTCCTTAATTCATTGGTTTATGTTCATTATTATTCGTAATATATTTTTAATTATTTATATGTTTTATATGGTTCAGTATGAATATATATATATATATGAAAAGTCGATTTTGTATAAAGATTTGTTTTTGTTACTATAATTCCATTTTTTTATTATTCATTTACTTTTTCATTATTTTTTTATATATTAATATTAACTAATGGAAAACCTTTTTAATCAGCGGTCCAATAAGCGGCGAAAAAATATCAACGCTGCCACGACACGTCCGAATAAAACTCACCACGGCCACAGCTTTAAAAAAAGGACCAATGAGCTACCATTAAAGATAAAAATTTCTACCAATGGCTGAATACTACCAAGCTCACAAACTGCAGTGAAAACCAATTGCTCGTATTCATATTGAATTCTATTGGCGCTGCAAAAGCAGAAAAATAATCTCAACAATGAAATTCTGGAATTTATTGAAAAAACCAGCAGAGGACCACCGAATCGAGCCCAGCAACGAACGAAAAGTTATCTTCATCAGAAAGGCGAGTCCGCTTTTGTCTGAAGGCTTCCTTTTCAAGCGTCGGCAAGGAAGCCTTTTTCACGTGTTCAGCGTAGCTAAAAATGCAGCTAAGCAGTTGACTGCAAGCCAGTCGGACTTTATAGGATTGGTCATCGTTTTCACTAAAAGTTTCCTCATCACTATGCGAGTATAAAATGGTTAACTCAGCAAACAACTACAATCGCTTACTCTTCGTGCTCAGAATCGGTGGAGCTTAGCTACATTAATAATGATAAAATAAGGTTTTCATTATAGAAATTGTAATTAAAAGAATTTTTTATCACCTCAACTTCGGATTCCCCAAAAGTTGGATCGTATGAAATATACTGAACGCCTTTATATTAACATAAAAAAGTATTGATTTTTTCTTCTCCAATAAACGTGTTTAGTTATCAGTAGTACCAATCCTGATAACCTCCTTAACAAACGGAGACATCTGATTGGGGCATTTTCGAAAAAGCGCGTTTAAACACTACAACGTAAAGAATGTCATAAAAAACTACGAGGATATTAAAAAATATATATAATATAAGTACTATTTGAAACAAAAATATTATTGGGTAGCTTAGAAGATTTTTTTAAAACTTTTCTTAAGAGTTTTTCTTGAAGTCCCTCTTCTTCGCTATCTCTAAAAGCAGGAAAAAAAAGTGGTTGAGGAACTCAGAGGACTTGCTCACTCTATGAAATTAGTAGCCCATTTTTCTCTTTTTTTTTTTTTATTGGTGAAAACCTGTACTCTTCCAATAAATATGTCTACTTTATTATGAATTTTACACGAGGTTTTGCATGTGTTTTTCATTTATTTTTTGATTGGATATACATATTTATGATAGTAAAGGTGAGCTATAGGAGAGCTACAATTGTACTATCTGGTTCCCCAAGGGAATAAGCCAGTACAAAATGAAAGTAAAAAATATTACTAAGTTTAAAAACTATATATTTCAATAAATTTACTGCAAATCATTTTACACGTTGAAGTTTAAGTCAATAAAATCAATAAAAAAATTGATTATTTATAATTTATAAATTAAATATAATTTTTGAGACAAACAAAAATTTTTTAATACCAGAATGGAATCTACAAGAAATTCTTCACCTTCTTCAGAATTTGGTGCGTTCAAATCTTCAAGTAAACTTATAACTAAACAAAAAAATAATGAAGTTAAAAGTTTATGACCAATTAAAATAAAAGATTTACTAAGCAAGGCTACGCGTGGGACATGAGGGTAAAGTTGATCGTCCGTTTTGTAGCTTTAATTTAATTACACATAAAAAAATTCAGAAGAATTCAAAAAGGCTTACGCAATTATAGTCAAAAGTTTTATAAAAATCTTCATAAAATTATTGTTATCCGCTTTCATCCCTTTTTTTTGTAATAAATTTATAAAAAGACCCACAAAAGTTTTACAGATTCGAAGGCTAAAAGTTTTTGTATGAGTACCTGGAAGAATAGAATCCTCTATAATCTCATAAAACAACGTGTCTGAAAGAAAAGGGCTTAACGCACCTGTACAAAAAAAAGGTTTCAAAGGATTTCTTTTCAAGAAATGCAAGATAACAAAAGTAAAATGATATTAAGTAAAAAAATTAACAAAGTCAGATTTTTTTAATAAGGAAGCAAAAAGAGAATAATTAAGTGAAAAGTTGTTAAAAAGAGTTAAAAAATACAAAAAAAAATTAAAATAAGAAGTATTAAATTATTATATAATAACTACCAAATGCACAAATCACTCGATTCTGGTTCACAGCAATCTGCGTTTTTAGGGCTGAAAGAAGAACCTTTTGAAATTATAAACTTAAAGTTACTACTTTTTCATAATCTTATTACTGTATAAAAGTTTCGACATCTTTTTTGAAAAATAATTTTTTAAAAAAATTTAAATTATAAAAATATAAATTACTTGCTCTTTTTAAAAAGAAATTAATAAATAACGGAAGTGGCGTAAGTAGACCTTAACGGAATTTATGTGCGCCGGTTTTAATAAAAGTCCATATTTACTATATAACTCGACCAATATGTTTAAGGCTTCGTAATGAGCTTATAAAGAATAACAATAAAAAGAAAATTACTACACGTCCTTAAAAAAAAAAATTCAGTTAATAAATAAAAGTATTAGCGAAAGAAAACAATCTAAAAATATATTACCTGAACTTTGATTTGAACTTTCTAAAATGTTCAATAGATGACTATTTAACTGTAATAATAAAGCAGTGCAACTGTCAGATATTGGTAACTGCATTATAGAAAGTTTAATTCCTTTATCATTTTTTAAAAAATTTAGTTAATTTATGAATGTGACTTAAAAAAAAAGGCTACCCATGAAGGATATGTCACGTAAGTTTTCATCTTCAGATAAAATGTTACGACAGAGATGAGATATAATCAACTCTTTTTGAGAGTCTCTCACTTTCAAAATAAGAATTTTCAAACTATATAGAAAAAGAAGGGGTTTACTATTATAAGCAAAAAAATAACTTAAAAAAAGAGACCAACTCGCAGCAAGACTTTTAACTTCCCCATTTTTATCAGATAATAAATCAAGTATGCGACAAACAATAGCAATTTCCAACTCTTCGGGGAGCTAAAAGTATAAAAAATTTTTAAGCAAATGCTTGATTTTACAACTTAATATTAAAAAAAATATACAGCAGTGGCTTCATCAAAAAGTTGCAAGTTATTTAATAAATCATTTACAGCCATAAAACGAAAATCTGAAAGTTGGAAATCAATGTAAAAACTGTTTAAACATTATTATTGACCCAGAAAACCTTTATCCATGCTGTTCATCCTTTCTATAAGGGAGTTTAGAACATTTACTTCAACATTTTTATGCCGATGCATAGTTTATTAGAAGAAAATATATAATAAAGCTTTAGGAGAACTAAAAAAGACTAGAATCAGGTAAGGCTAAGCTAACTATTACCCACTTATGCTCTTCGAAGTATAGTTGCAGCACGGTGTTACTCCTACCGGTAACTTTTCAAGGCATCCAGTTAAGTTTCTTAAGCTTTCAACATTTTACGGTTTTTAGGAAAGAATTCCATATTTTAGAATATCTTTACATTTTGCAAAAAAATTTTATTTCTAAATTACAATTCTTTGCTGAGCTAAACTCACGCCTTTAATTTTGGAAAGTGTAAATAACTTTTTCGGTTTACTTAGTTATTATAAGTTACTGTTAAATTGTATTAAACTAACTTTTCAAAAAAAGTTTTATTTATATTTGGGATAAAAAAGTTAAAAATACAAGTAGTATTTAAAATATATAAAGCCTCTGTAACAAAATAAACCTAAGAAAGCTGGGTTATAGAAGCTCGCTATTATTTATTCAGTACCAAACTTAAAAATTTTAATTAAATTAATAGCTAAAATGTAATATAATACAATAGTTACACTAGACTATTAAAAAAAAAAAATTAAAGCGCGGTAAATTAACTTAAAGTTTTCGTCGCTTTTCTAAAAGAGATTCAAGAAAGCCATAACTATTTTATACAGGTAAGTACATTTTCCTCAAAGGGGTTTTATTTAAGCTCTTTCTTTTTTCCTCAATTGTCCCCAACACTTTTTATGCGTTAATAAAATAAAAAAAGCCTAAGGTTACTAGAGAGAAACGGGGAAGAAAAACTACTTAAAACAATAACATAGCAACAAAAATATTTATGTTCAAAATGAATAATTTTGTTTTTAATAAATATTGCTTTCCTTTATATATATAAATCGCATAAAATGTTAAAATGAATCACGCAGTACATATTAGTCTTTTTTTTTATATAATCTATTAATATTGCTTTTATGCTTTTCAATCATCAAACTAATAATTTAAAATATTTTTTTAAGGTATATACATATGAAGCCGTCTTTGGTTATAACTATAAGTAAAGATCATAAAGTTCTATGGAAATAAAAAGCGCGAAAGTAACAGCAACTAGAGTAGAGTAATAGGAATTCCGAAACTTGTTTAAAATAAAAAAGTAAACTAAAACAAAAAATAAAGATAAGCAAAAATTATGAAAAGAGCAATAACATTATAATAAAACTAAAAGAATAAATAGGAAACGACTAAAAGTTAAACAGAACAGTTAAAGCAGAACAGCCAAGAACAAAAGTTACAAAGCGCTTTATCATAGGGAATATAACATAACCTAAAATCCTTCCACCAGCTTGCTCTAACCCAACCGAGCAACAGAAGTGCTCGTGCCTGCCTAATTAGGTACAAGATGTTAAACCCTTTAGGGCTAAATCATCTTTTACATAAAGTGGCAAGCATTTTCTCGTCAATTGTTGATCTTTTGTTCCCTTTTCTTGCTTAAAAAGATACCGTTAGTCTGTTTCAGAGTTTGCGTACCAATAGTCTGTGTGATCAAGTGGTTTCTATTTAAGTCTTACTTTGTCATACAGCTCCAGCAGGACTAACAGATGGCAAAGATCAGTTGTGGAGCGCCTCAATTACAGTCGGCAAGCGAACGTTCGCCATAGGTTCATTTTGTGGGTTAATGACGTACAGCCCGCTAGTATCTGTCTATAATTATGGGCACGGAAGGCCGGTTGTTTTAAGTGCATGTCGCACAGGGTTTGAAGCATTGAGCATAAAAAGGAAACTTAAGTCTGTCTTAAACGGCTCGCTAGCGAGTTTATAAACTTCAATCACAGACACATTACCAAAATACCCCTTGGTCGGCTAGGCAGAAGATATTTCTAGTGCTGCAATACATAGAAGAGCAGGCAAATAAAATCGGTTTTCGTTTAATACTTCATACATTTAGGAAAGTTGTAAAGAATAAAGTGTAGTTAGAGAGGGGTTAAGCCTCGTGCTTGACACAAATTCACCCCTCAACCTGGCTATATTTTTGCATCTTATTTCCTACATTAAACGCCGTCCGCAACAGGAGGCGCATATAGAGGCACTTAACCATTGTCATATTTAGGTCCTTAACTGGCTTAAGCATCGCTACTAGCAATTATTTCTTACTATAATAGAATTGTAGCCAATGGACATTTACGTTTTTTTTAAAGTGAAATGATTATTATAAGAAACAGAAAACATTTTATTCGCAAGCACTCCATTGCTATCAACTTCTTTTTGTATGTATAACCAGATTGAAGAGTTACAGCACTGTTTGACGAGCATCGCATCTTGCTTTTACTTATAATATGTTGAGTGAAACGAAAAACCAGCTTCAATCTTTCGCGGCCTTTAAAATAGTTAGTTATGCCTCAATTTCGCCGTGTTACATGATTTCTAACCTCAGCTATGGCACAGCGTGGATGTTTTTTCGAATTCTGTCTTATAAACTTTTTTCTAATGGCCTCCCTAGATTTGATGCATTTCCGTTAAATTTCGCTGACCAAGTAAAAAGTCGATGATTTGGCGCTGCACACTTTACACCTTAAACAGGAAAATTTTCGACTTAACTCTAAGAATTTAATTTATCCATTTAATATTAAGTTTACTAATTAATGGTGTTACTTTTTACTCTTGACTTAGTGGAGCCCCCTATGCGATTTATGCTATAATAAAAAGGCAGCATCGGACAAAAAAAATTATTTTTGAATTATGTAATCATTATTATTTTTGGAGATACCAAACGTTACATACGGTATGGATGACCGAAAGCAAACATTAACTGTTTTAATAAATAATGCATCGTGTTATTAGTAACCCTAGATCACTAAATGAGTTTATTTTGTTTGGTTGGTTGGCTTTGGTTTGAGTTTTTATCAATTACCAAGCCCTCCAGACTAAATGGAACAACTACGAGACAGAGAAACGCGAAAAAGAAAAAAAATCCCATGAATCCTATTTTTTTTAGCATTGGCAAAATACCACCGGTCTTCTTAAGACCTTAAGCCGCTTAATCTGGATCCCCCTCTTCTGCAGGGGTTGGAGGAGGAGTGCCCCCCAGTGTACGCTCCTTAGAGAGCTATAATGACCGTCCCGAAGGACTGAAAAAGGGGTAAATATCGGGCCCGGGCTCCCACCATTTGGTCTAGTGTTGTGGAAACCGCTAGAAACCACCACCGGGAAAGGCAGCACTAAGCACAAGACCCGAGGCCACCTGGAGACCCAGGCCAGCAGGGTCTCCCCGACTATGAGCCCTCACTAGAAAGGAGGAAACCCGTAATGAACCTTTTATCAAGTATATATGCACATATATGGTACGCTAATACAATAATCCTACATTTTTTAGATCAAATGGCCTTAATTAACATTTACAATCTTTTAATCTTTAAAATATCATAAAAATTTACTAGCGTTTTAAGCCTCCAAGATAGGTTATTGAGGAATTATTGAAACACTTACCCCTGTGGAGGTGACATCTGAGATCGCACTACTTCTAGAAACTTGTTGTAAGCGTGCAGTGCAAATTAAATAGTAAATAAGTTGTAAAAAAGGTGAACAACGGAGCTGCAGGTATTTCACTCAGTAATAGCAATCACATTAAAATTTTAAGTGTAAAGATGTTCATCTACCATAAACATAATTATATTTAATTATTTTTTTTTAAAAATGTCTTTACAGCAATATGTTACGAGCTGTAAAACTATATAAAAGATAAACCTTTTTCCATAGAAAATTTGTTAACTTTAATCCCCAAGTCATCGACTTTTCAAGAATATATATATATATATGTGTTATTAAGCTCAAATTAGATTATAAAGACGCCATTAAGTAAAAATATTTATACCTTTTATACCTTTGTTAAAGGCACTAATAAAAAAAAAAAAGTAAAAAAGCGGACAATAATTGTTGCCATCAGTTACTTCATTTATATGACACCATTAGGCGTTCTATTAAAATCTTTATTATAGTAACTCATGATCCTAGTTCAGACGCTACAGGAATTTTTGAAAGGTGATTTAATAATATAATAAAGAATATTTCTACACGGTAGGAGGTCATTTATTCCGTTTTATAGCAATTAAAATTTAATTTACTTACTCTTAATTTAACCGTAAAGATTATATGATATTTAACTAATTTAAAATAAAGTAACTAATATTATTTAGGGTAACAAGGTGGTGGGGGGGGGATGAGCCCTTGCTATTTAACTTGCTATTTCGAAGACCTGTTAACCAGTTTTTCGGAGAATTAACTGTCTTTAACCTATTATCTTATATACTATAGGCATCCCTTTTCCTACTTTCTGGTTTTCTTTGAGCAGTTTACACCAATCTCTATTAAGAAAATTGAATCTCA